TCAAAATAAAATCACGTAATGTAATGTATTATGTTTTGTAAAAATGTAATTATATATATATATATATGTCTTATAAAAAAAATTGTACAGTTTCAATATTACATTATTATATTTGATTTCCATTTAATGAGAAAAAATGAATAATTGTTTGATTATCAATCATGATTATAAATTAAAATATTTAACTCTATACGTATATTTGACAAAACTTCAAATAATCATAATGCAAATGAAAAAAAATTGAACTATTATTTAATGAATTGACTGCATATTTTTAATCGAGTTAGTTAAGTTTAAAACCAATTTACTTAGCAGAAGATTTTTGTAAGTTTATGATAAATCATAAACTATTGTCCACTATTAACTTATAACTGCCTTGTGTTTACTTAATTTGACTAGAGCGTAGGAGTATTGCAACAAAATATTTGGGAACTCTAATTACATAATTTTTTACCTAATCTAAAAAAATATTTCTATACAACAAGAAATACAAATTAATTCATTTTCGGTATAGTCTATGGCAGAATTTTAGGAGACAAAGCCCCCTCAAGTCTCTCCAGATTGCGGTCAAATCCAAACTGGACTGAATTAAGTTCGTTACCCACCTTTGAACAATGAAATGATATTAAATCATATTTTTGTTTGATTTCATATGAAACTAATTGTAAAGACAGTTTTAGAGAATGGGATACCGAATATCTTTATAAACGCATCTGTTTAATAACGAATACTATCATCATAAAAGCGTACCTATATATTTTTTAACTAAACTATTTGATTGTTATAGTATTAATGTGCTTACAATGTTATAATAAGCACTAATAAGGAGAGGTAAAAAAGATTTTACGTCTGAAAATTGGAATCGCTCTTCTTTCCCCTCCAAAAAAAAATTTAAGGGCTCACACCAGTTATGTTACCTTTATGTACCTATTTTATCAAAAGTCGGATACATTTCGGGGATCTTTATTGTAATAATTATTCGTTAATAGACAGTAATCAATTATAACGCTATTTTATTATATTAATTAATATTTATTAATTAGTGATAAGGGTTATATTTTTCCATCAGATAATATATTGCTACGATATTCATCTACTCCGAAATTTGATAATTTTTTAATCGATTTCGCGAATAATCGATATTCGGAGCTGATTTCATTCGGAGCAATCAATTAATAGTCCTATTCGGAGTATTCGTCGTCGTAGTAACATCCAAATTTTTATAACCAGGTATTCGTAGTAATTGTTGTCGGAGTAAATGTATTCGGAGGATTTTTTTACAGTGTCGGAGTAAATGAATGTCGGGGCATCATCAGTTCGTGGCAATCTCCGGAACCCGTTTTTACGTCGTCGTTTATTTCTCATTATTTCGTTATTATTATTAGTAGTTAATGTGATTTCGTAAATTTTCTACTACTATGGCGATTATATTAATCGAAACTCGCGATTGGTAATTTTACGGCGATTACGATCAATGTAGTTTATTAATTGTCGATATTGTGACGGTCTTATTGAATTTGATTTTGTAATTTTTAGAGGGCGTTTGTCGTGTGGCCGGAAGACCGCTTCGATAATGGTTCGACCCGTTGGCCGAGAGTGCTGGCTCAATCAATAGTGCTGTTAACAATCTACAACGGATTTATTAAACGGGTAACGCATTTCTGTTCGTTAAAAAAAAACCTGTGCGCTGACGTTTTTACAACGATTGTAATTCATATATAATTTCAAAATCGTTTATATAATCGTTGTAACGCCAGTATTAATCGATTTGATATTATAATTTTTAGACGGCGTTTGTTGTATCCCGAGGAATGTTTCAATAACGGCTCGGCCTGTTGGCCAACAGTGCTGGTTCTAATGGACAACGGATGTATTACACGGGTAATTCCTTTTTTATTTGTTAAATAATATCGGTCGGTCAATAATTAATGTAGATTTATCATGGTGGTAATGGCACCGATAAATTAATTTTCATCTTGTAATTTTTAGACTCACGTCCGTTGTGCCCGTATGAATATGCTGGAAATCGCTGATGGTTTTAGTTTTTTATTACGAGGGTAATTCAAATTTACACCAAACCCTACCCGACCCGAAGAGTGCTGACTCTAATTCATAATTAGTTGTATCGCACAGGTAACTGATTTTTACTTATTTTATTTGAAATAAATTTAATTAATTTGCTCGCTTTAATTATAATTCAAATAATTATTAGGTATTTCCAGAGTTGTTAAAATACGGTATTTTATTTTTTTGTTGTATAATATCGTATAATACACGTATAATACTGTATAATACCGTATAAATTCTTGTAGCACCTTAAAATTTGGGAAAAAATAAACTTTAGAGTGATTATTTTTCATAAAACTCAATAAATAAATGAGTACTTACTGAAAAAGCCTTTAGCAAAATTGATGAAAACAAAATGTTCAGGGAGTAATTAGTTAAAGTATTGAACTAAGATATTTTTCTATCCAGAATTCCTCTCTAAAGGATGATTTAGTATCAACTAAGTACCAACTATAGTCAATTTGCAATCAGATACCACCCATGATGTTAATGGTCTGAGAACTCTACTTTTTTAAACAAGAATAAATACACAATTGGAATTTTACCACATTAAAAACTTAAAATTTTTAATAACTTAATAAATAAAATAATAAAACTTAATTTTTCTTAAAAAAAAAAACCTATCCTTTAAATAAACTATTAAAAAATTAAAATATGGCATCTTAATATTAATCTTAAAATCTATAATTGTATTAACGTTTGTTACCTTAAAAAAAAATAACTTAAGCACCTTATCGATTATAAATTTTAGTATCACAGAGTACTAAGAATTAATTTTTATAAAGTATGAAATATTTTATAATCTTAATTTGTATATGTCATGACATCATCAAATAGTTCATCTGTTTCATTCTCGTTTTTGCTTTGATAGACAACCCATCTTAGTTCGTAATTTGCAAATAATACTTTAAACTTAAACAATTTAAATCACAAAAAAAATACTTTTACCACAGAATAGATTCACCTGTTCTGTGCTTTTATTTTCTTCCATTTGAACTGACATGCGTTGGAGCTTAAAATGTGACAAGATTATTGTGTGGTAATACTAAAAACATACTGAGACCACGGTTATACCGTACACAAGTCCATTGCTTTTGTTTGTTATGATAACCATGTTTCCCTGGCGTATCTGACAACTAATTATGTTTTAAAAATATATCTGTTAATCTACAATAATAATCACAATTATAGATAGATTTAAATCTAATAATGCAATCCAACTATAACATTAATTACAATTGCGTACATCAATTAAAATAAAATCCAAAAGAATATAAATATTGATAAAGCTTTTTTTTTTTTTTGATACAGCCGGTATAAAATAATTTTATACGCATGTATCATACCGTATAATACACATGTATAATACCGACTCACATCTCTAGGTATTTCATTTATTATTGATGACTCTTTATGATTATTTCTTATTGAAATAATTTATTGACAATTTTACAGCAATCGTAATAATAATAATAATGTTGTAGTTATATTATATAATGGTAATGGCAATTTTTAGATTGTATCCGTTGTGCCCGGATAACTGAGCTATAAATGTTGACTGTCGTCGCTATTGGATTTATTGCAAAGGTAATTCATTTTCATTTGTTAAAAAAAAATTATTGCTATTGACTTTTCTTAAAATAGAGTTCCTACTTTTGCATTTTAATCAATTTATTTAGCATATCTTAATCATCAGGTCGATTTGTATTTCATTTATTGGTGCAATTCGTGCTACATCAGTCTATATAATCTCTTCCTCTATATATATCTCTCTCTTCCTCTGTATATACAGGGTGGCCCACCACTCACTGACAACTTAAATAACTTTTGATCCAGTTAATATTTTTAGCTGATTTTTTTTTTAAATATTAGTTAGACGTTAGGTCTATAGCTATATCTCAATAATTCATTTTTTTACATTTTATTAAAAATATTAATTATTTTTAAATTTTAAATAAAATGTAAAAAAAAAATCTATGATAGGTATTTTGTAGAGTAGAATTTAAGAAAAATTTTAGTAAATAAAATATCTTATTAATATTCAATAGTAAATATTCTGTAGCGTTTTGAAGTTTGTGAAATTTTGAATTTTCATGTACTATTTTACAGTATTAAACATTGAAATACGTATTGAAAAAAGGACAGAAGAAAACGCTATCTCTTCAATATACTTTTGAATGAGAGTGATAAGTAATAATTTCCTTATCTAATTTCTTATCATGGTATTTATGCCAAGTTTGTAATGTATACACACTATCATCATATGTATACACAGTAATCATGAAAAGATAGCGTTATCTTCTGTCCTTTTCTCAATACGTATTTCAATGTTTAATACTG